CGCCCTACACGTTTTCCCATCGGTTTGAAAGAACTGTTTTGAAAAGGGTATTTCTAGATCGATTTGTTCCAAATGCAGCAAATTTATCCGATATCGTTCACAATGCATGCGCGAGACATCTTACACGTAATAGCCATCGTATTAACCCACCCAGCTGATGCTGAGATGGTTAATGGGGCGGGGGAGCAGGGAGGAATATGTCGTGCGTGAAAAACTCCGGGTGTAAAAGTCAACGCAGAACTCACTCGCCGAGGAACCGAAAAAGACATTCAGGACTCTCTTACTGGAGAGAGGATAGAAAGTCAAGCGGCGGCGTCGCGACCGGCGATCGCGATATGCAGTCTGATCTCAGTACCCAGCGGAACTGGACCACAACCCAAAGAAAAGAGGTTTTTCCGGAGCAAAGAGCCGCCCCGAATTCAAAGTAAAAAAAAAAAAAAAAAAAGTAAACTGCTTAGGGGTGGAAGATGGCGGGGGGCGGGGAGGGAGGAGGGTCGCGCCGCTGGCTCTCTGGCCCGCGGTAAGGCGGTCTCCTACGCGCTGCCGGCGGCGGGGACCCTGCCCAGCGCGGCGCCCACCGCGAAGGTAGCAGACCCGCTGCGCCGCCGCCGCCGCGCGCTCCCCGCCGCGGCCCCCTCCCCCGCCGCTTCCTCTCGCTCTCCCAGCCCCTTCCCCCACGTGTGGATGACGTCAAAATTCCGCGAAAAAGCCGCGTGGTGGCTCCCCGAGCGGAGGCGAGATTCCGCCGCCCAGCGGCCCCCTCCTGGGGGCTCCTGCAGGGGGAGAAGGGCGGAGGCGGCGGGTTCCTTCTCCTCCCGGGACGCTGGGCCCCCCCCGACGCCGCAGCCGGACGCCCCCCGCCCCAAAGCTTATTGGAAAATTCACTTTTGTAAAGCAAATGTATTTCCAGAGCTATTTTCGGCCGCGTGAGGCGTGTCCTAAGCTGAATCAGACAGGAAGAGGGGGAAGTTCGGGTCTTTAATTCTTTTTTTCTCCTAAGGGAGGGGAGTGAGACGCTAGGTGGGTGACAGACGGCAGGCGCTCGCCTTCTTAACCCTCGCTTGTCGCATCTGCCGCTTCAAGAATTCAGCCCGGTCCGAGCCGAAATTCGCCCAGAGGAGTGCGGATGCACAGGCCGGGCAGACTCTGCCCCTCTCCAGAGCGCAGCGCCCCAGCGCCCCAGCGCCCCAGGGGTCTGCTACCAGAGGGTCCCGGAAGCGAGTTCACACCTGCAATAGCACTGCGGTCTCCACCCACCCTCCTCCCCCGAGATCTCCGCTTCCCGACGTTTCCCTCTTCTCCTAGCCCGCATTTTTCTACTTTGCCTGTACCCCCTCCTTCCTCTTGATGTGCCTCCTACGTGTCCCCTCGCATTTTGCCAGTTGGGTTTTCGGTTTGGATTGACCATCCCTCCCTCCACGGAGAACCACAAACGCAGTTCTACTCTTTGGGGGAGCCGAGAGGAAGGCAGTGGCTCCCATTCCTGTGTCTGAACTCAATCACTCCCCGTTCCCCACCCGGCCTAAACGCCCCTGCGCGGAGGCGGCGGGACTCGAACTCGCGCTGCTCTCGGGCCTCGAGCCGACCGTAATCACCTGGCTGGGAGACAGGCATCCGCCAGGTGAGCTTGGGAATATGTGTGCTTAGTGCTGCTGGCTCCTGCAGAAATGTGCCTATAAACACCCAACACCCAACACCCTGCTGCACCCTCCACCTCCAGGCTTTGTACACTTTCCAACCGAAACTCCAAAACGCGAGTAGAGGGTGGGGAGCCGGCCGGAAAGGGAATAAAAGTGCAATAAAACTGGCGTTCACTAAAGTTTATCACCAATCCTACATGAGATATATATATTTTTCCGTGAACGGTGACAAGCAGATAAGGAAGAACCAACATTCTACACCCCCCTCGCCGCCCCCTACCCTCCTGCCACGATGATCAGTTTGGACTTCAAAGCCAGAACACAGGCGCTTGCGCTTTTTCTCTAAACCTAAGTCTACACTGAAAGAAAATGTGCACTTTTGCCCAGAAGGCAACATGCCTTTTCCCGCGTGCTAGGTGGGGTGCATTTTAACAAGAAATTAAGGTTTTAACACATGGCTGGAGTGGCGACCAAAAGGGAAAACTCAGTTTCCATTCCAAGTCTCCTAGAGACATTCCTGCCAACCTCCGCACCCTCTCACGCCCCACCCCACGTGTGAGAGAGTGTCTGAAAAACCACCGGGGATTGGATTCGATGGCGACGTTCACGCTCTGGAACAGTCCGTAATCGGAAGGGGAAGTGGACAGGGGAACTTCAAGAGACGAGCCTGCCACGCGGGAAGCGCTCGAACTTGCGGGTCTCCAAGAATGCAGAAACCACCAGGAAGGGGGGGCATCCGGCCGCGACCCTCTCTGCCCCTCCCCTCGGCCGCCCCCCTCCCCGCTGGAATTTCTCTGTAAAGCAGGACGGGTGGGGGGAGGGGGAGAGGGAAGGGAAGGGAAGGGAAGGGAAGGGAAGGGAAGGGGCGAGAGGGCCCTAGGCTCCCTCCCAAGACCTGAGGACTCGCCACCCAGGCATTCTCCTCTTGGTGGGCAAGGCCCCCGGAAGACCACCCGCTTCTTTCTCACCCCTCCCCCCACTTCGGGAGACGCAGAGCTGGAGATGCCTTCCTTGTGGGAGGGGGGTGCGGGCGGGGATGGAAGAGATCCCGCTCCCAGAGCTATCAAGTGATGTCCAGAGGCTGGCATCCCCAGCGGCGGCCTCTGTCCTTGCCTGTCGGGTTAGATTTATACTTTAAAAATACCTCCCGCGCTCCCTCCTTTTCTCTCCTCTCCACGCAGCAACTTTCCTTGATCCGCTCAAAAGTGGCTTAGGTGAAATTGGAGTAATTCCCTTATGGGGATCTTAAAATGTAAGTGAATGTATTTATTTACCAGGGGTGACTCAAAAGCTTAAGTCGGGAAGTCCAAGGTGACTAAAATCAACAGGTGATTGTTCGGGACCGACTGTGTGCGGGTGAACACCGTACTCGGCCAGGGTGTCATCCGCGGCGCTGGACTGTTTCATTTTGAGTTTCCAACTTGGGTTTTTCAGCGAGCTTTTTTTCTTCACGAAAGCTAATGGCTTCCACAGCAATTAGACATTTTCTTCGCCCGCCCCTTCCCTCCCCTTTCTTTACATATAGGAGATGGGATACTCATTCCCGCTGCTATTGATAAGGTCGGAGGCGGCCGGGCCTCTCCCGAGCTTTCGCCCGCCCCAGCGCCCGCTCTCCCTCCGCCCTCCCTTGGCTTCCTTTTGATGTAGTGGGGAACGCGTCCTACCAAAAAAAAAAAAAAAAAAAAAAAAAAAAAAAAAAAGTAATCTGCCCGGTAACAATCAGCGCGCAGTAGCAGGAGCCCCAGAGCTATTGGCTATGCAAATAGAGGGAGGGGAGACGGCGCCCCAAACTCTTACCCTTTTAAAGCTATATCCCCCTCCTCCCCGCTACACCTTCCGCCCCACCCTCGTTTAAAGAGGCTGGCTCCGGGGCCTGAGTTAATCGCCTGCACCTCTGGTTTCTTCGCTCCCCTCCTCCGCCTTGCAGGGAACCTAGTGTACGGCTCACCAGCCCGCGCCCCACCCCGCCTTGCTGGCTCTCCGCGCCCCTGCCCCGGCCCCCTCTCCCGCTGAGGGAGGTACACCGTCGGCCTCAGTGTGCCCAGAGAGCTCGAGCCACGCCATGCCCGCTGCACGTGCCAGCTCGGCCAGCACAACGGGGCGCTGGGCTCTCCCCTTCCTCCTGGAGTGAAAGGGCAGGGTGGGGGTTGGGGGTGACAGGAGGAAGGAGGTGAGGAAGCGCCAGCAGATCAATCTCCCGTAAAGACAGCCTTGACTGGAGGATGCGTTAGAGCACGTGTCAGGGCAGACAGTGCTGGCGGCGACTTCACCGCAGTCCGCTCCCAGGGAGAAAGCTTGGCGAGTGAGGCGCGAACCCGGAGGGGTCGGCGAGGATGCGGGCGAAGGACCGAGGGAGGTGGCCTCCTGCCTCCGGGGAAAGGAAGGGGTGGTGGTGTTTGCGCAGGGGGAGCGAGAGGGAGCCAGACCTAATCCCTCACTCGCCCCCCTCCCCCTCCCGGGCCATTTCCTAGAAAGCTGTATCGGTGTGGCCACGCTCGGCGCAGACACCTCGGGCGGCTTGTCAGCAGATGCAGGGGCGAGGAAGCGGGTTTTTCCTGCGTGGCCGCTGGCCTCGGAGGAACCGCTGGGAGCCCTGCCCCCGGCCTGCAGCGGCCCTGGGCGCTGCACTGCGTCGCCTCAGGGCGCTCCTAGGGCCCCCAGGAACACGACGGTTTCTGCTCCAGAAGCACATTCTATCCCTCCAGAGAAGCATCCCCCTTCCTTCCTAACATCCACCCCTCCCTCCCTCTTCTTCCTCTCCACACACTCTGCGGGGGGGTGGGGGGGTGGCGGCAGAAGGGACGACGTTCTGTTCCCTTTAATCGGGGCTTTTGAAACAGCTTCGAAGTTATCAGGAACATAAACTTCAGGGGCATGACCTTTATCTCTGGGTATGCGAGGTTGCTATTTTCTAAAATCACCCCCTTCCTTATTTTTCACTCAAGGGATCTATTTCTAAATTGAGCTCACCCCATCTTCAAGTAATCTACCCTACATTCCTGGATCTTGAATACAAGGGCAGGAGGATTAGGATCCGTTTTGAAGAAGCCAAAGTTGGAGGGTCGTATTTTGGCGTGCTACACCTACAGAATGAGCGAAATTAGAGGGCAGAAATAGGAATCAGTAGTTTGTGGTGGGTTGCCCTGTCCGGGGCCCCTGGCACGCAGCACTGGAGGAGGGAGAGGGGTTGGGGGGCGGGGGACGGCGTTTGAAGTTAGGTCGGGGCAGCTGCTGTTCTCCTTAATAGCGAGAGAGGAAAAGGAGGGAGGGAGGGAGAGATTGAAAGGAGGAGGGGAGAGCCAGGAGGGGAGGGAAGGGGAGGAGGAACCAGAGCGGGGAGCGCGGGGAGAGGGAGGAGAGCTAACTGCCTAGCCAGCTTGCGTCACCGCCTCAGAGCGGAGAAGAGCGAGCTGGGGAGAGTGAGACCAGTTTGAAGGGGAGGATCGGTGCGAGTGAGGCAGACCCCGAGGCTCTGCTCGCCCACCGCCCAATCCTTGCCCCTCTTCTGCTCCACCTTCTCTCTGCCCTCACTTCTTCCCCGAACCCCCCTATTTAGCCACAGGAAGGAGATCGGGGGAACCCTTTCCCTTCCCCTTCCAAAAAACAAAAAAACACATTTCCAGTCCGGAGAAAGTAGGGGAGAGGGGGGTCGCCGGGCTGGCCATGGAGCTGCTGTGCTGCGAGGTGGACCCGATCCGCAGGGCCGTGCGGGACCGCAACCTGCTACAGGACGACCGCGTCCTGCAGAACCTGCTCACCATCGAGGAGCGCTACCTTCCGCAATGCTCCTACTTCAAGTGCGTGCAGAAGGACATCCAGCCCTACATGCGCAGGATGGTGGCCACCTGGATGCTGGAGGTAGGTCAGCGGGCGGCGCTCTCTAGGAGCCAGGACCGCTCCCGGATTCTCGGCCCCCGGGCAGGAGCCCTAAGCCTGGGAGAGGGCAGTCCCCGCGCCGGCCTCCCGGCTTCTGTGCCGGAGGTTACCGCGCGCCTTTTGGCGAGACGCGTGGCTTCATTTCTGTTCCTCTCCAAATTAACGCGGGAGGGAGAGGCGGGAGGAAGATCTGGGGAAGAAGCGAGGCTGTCCTGGGCGGGGGTGGGGAAGCATCCCGCGCGCGTGTGCCTGCATGTGGCTGCCTCTTCTTCCCACCCCCCCCACCCCGCCCCGCGACCTGTGTTTTGCGAAGACGCGGCGGCTGCTTTTGCTGCGGCCAGGAACGGAGTCAGGGCCAGAAACCGGGACCCCGAGTAGAAAGGCAGCCCCCTCAAAAGGCCAGAGCACATTCGTCTTGGCCTCAGGTCCCTGCATGTGGTCGCAACTCCGCGCTGGCACTTCAGGGGGGAGGTGGAGGGAGGAGGGAGGAGAGAAACAGGGAATTCTGGAGCCCCGAAAGTTCCAAGGAGGAAACGTGTGTTTCAGGGGAACCCAAAAGAACCACGTCTTGCCCCTCACTCCAAGTCTTTGCCCAGCGAGCCGTGTGCCCACGTATGCACAGCTCTGGACCTGCCGTGGTTTCGCCATGTTGCTTTGCAAACTCCCGTTGGAAAGGCTGGGAAACGTCGCCCGCTTACCCTCGCACCCCATTATCCCGGCCACCCCGCTTTGAATCGTGCCCTCTCCCCCACCCCCCACCTCGCGAAGGTTACTTACAGTTTGGCTTTCCAGCTTCCTCTGTGCGGAGATTTGGGTGGGGTAGGAAGGGGGGGAGGGCGTGTGTGTAGGGGGAATATCGGGTCACCCCTAAAGGAGAGGTCGGAGCCCCCCATGCGTCTTTCCAGGGCTCCCTGTTCCAGTCTGTCCCCCAGCTCGTCACCACGTTCCCTAGTTTCTGTCCTTGTGGGCCGCAGCCGGACACTCCCGCCGCGGCGCTCACCCCTTCAAGTTTCCTCCCGGGATTCAAAGCCCCAGGGGTCGGAATACAGACCTTTCTGGCACCCGAAACTTACGTTTCGGGAAGCCTGATTCCTCTTTGGGGTTTTCACGCCAAAAGGGCTTTTCTAGGATATTTCCTCGATTTTTAATTATTTTTTGAAACTGTCCCCCCCCCCTGCTCCGACTCCAGCTGCCGAGGCTGCGGCGCTCTTCCTCCTCTACTCCCTCCCCCTCTCTTCCCCACCTCTCCCCACCCGCCCCCCCAATAGCGGCCCCTGGGCCGCAGGGACCCCCCCAGACATTTTTTCCAATTGTCGGGAATGATAGAGGAGGATCTGAGGATCCGGATGAGACCAAGAAGTGGACCCTCGGAGGCTCCAGAATATTTTTATTGATTTTTTGAAAAGATGACGAAATCCAAAAAAGAGTGAGTGAGTTTAGAGTGCGCGAAGGAGTAGCCAAAGGGAGCGTCGCGGAGCGGCCGCGGCTGCTGCGCACTTCCCCGACTCTCCGTTTTGGAGCTGTAGTTCACCCCCTTTTATAGGCTCCCTGGGAATGCCAAAGCACGGATGGGCTATTCTGATGCACCCCAGTTTCCTCATCTTTGTTCTTTATTCTTATCACACATTCTACTCCCCTCCCCCTCCCCACAAAAAATTAAAATTTTTTGTTTCCATACATTATACCTTTTTATTCTTTTTCTCTTTTGCTGATGCTATGCTCTCCACCCCCGCCCCCCACCCCTTTCTCACTCCCATCGTAGGTCTGTGAGGAACAGAAGTGCGAAGAAGAGGTTTTCCCTCTGGCCATGAATTACCTGGACCGTTTCTTGGCTGGGGTCCCGACTCCAAAGTCCCATCTGCAACTCCTGGGTGCTGTCTGCATGTTCCTGGCCTCCAAGCTCAAAGAGACCAGCCCGCTGACTGCAGAGAAGCTGTGCATTTACACTGACAACTCCATCAAGCCTCAGGAGCTGCTGGTAATGACGGGCCCCTTCCTCCCTTCCTTTCTGCGATTCCCGCTTTCCCCTGGCCAACAATATACCTTCTACTCACCACTTCCAGAGCAAATTCTTGGGATCCAAAAATGATCCCACCAGTACTTACGGGCGATGGCTCTTTTAATAGGAAACCACTGTCTTTTTGTATTCCTACTCTGTGCCCAGGCTCGGTGCCCAGCACTGAGGCTACATCTGAATAAGATCCTCATGGAGATTTGGGTTGGTGAGACTCATTCGCAATGTGTGTGCATGTGTGTAGGGGAAGCATGGAATATTTTAACAGTGATAATATTTTAATTAAATTCCAAATTTTCAAAAATAGTCTGAGAATGTGTTCACGTGATAGGTATGTGGCTGTGGTGTGTGTCTCCTAAAAACTTGGAGTTCAAAGGTAATGCCTTCTATATCTATAAAGCCTCAAGATACCTACACATAATAGCTGTTCACTAAATATCAGTTCATTGACTGGCGCAAAGTCAAAATTGGTCCTTTCATTGAAGGAGTCCCAGGCCTGGGTTCTTAACTCCAGTAGGATTTTGACCTCTGTACAACCCCAGGGGTCCTGTCTTATCTCTGGTTTTCTACCAGAGAACCTTTTTCCCACCTGATCTAACTCCTTTTCCCTGCAGCTTGACATATAAGACGGCCATATTGCAGCAGTACTGGATGGAAGAGCGGCTCCAAGGCCCACCTTCAGTGGTTTGCACACCCCCAATGAACTGTTTAGAAAAGCACCCCGCCTTCCCTCCCCCTCCCCCTCATTACGGGCAGGGCCTGCACGAAGTCCACAGGGCTGAGGCTGGCTTCTTGAACTGGGCTCTTTGTGAGGAGCCTTCCTTTCTGGGGCTGTGCTGCCATCTAGTGGAAGACATGCACAAGGTTGGGGGGGGAATTGCCGAGAATGTGGAGAGGGGCCTGAATGACTTCACCTTTGAACCGCTGCCAGATTTTAGCTGCTTCTGGTTTGGTCCGAGAGGCCCAGAAAGGTGCTTTCTTCTGGGAGATCTGCTTCCTTTAATAATGGTGCAAGACGAGTGGTCCGTACTCGCATTATCCTGTGAGAAGGAAGGGCTGGCGTTTCAAACCATCTTTTTGAAGATGATGGTGGTTTAGTAGTTTATGGGGGCCCTTTACCCCGGCTGTCCACAGAAAGCCAAGGCAGATTTTTAAAGCTTATAAAGAAAACATTCATAAAATTGGGAACCAATTTGTTTTTCTCATGGGAGAGCAGGAAAAACAATCTTCATATGGTTCACTTGTTTCAAGAGGATGGTGAACTGAGGTGTTCTTCAGGACATGTGAATCTCTCCAAGACTACCCAAGCAATATATTGCTCTACACGACCCTGGCCTTTTCCTGTCCCCTTCCCCTCTATCCCTGAAGTTGGAATTTGGAAGAGTCCTATTTTACAAATGAGAAGGCTGAGGCCTGGGAGGGAAAGGGAATCACCCCCTGCCCCATTGCTCCAGGACTGGTGTTCTGGTTGCCGGTTTAGCAAATGAAAGAGATTCCAAGTTCTCCATGTGAATGGGAGAGGGGGTGCGTTGGCAAACAGGCCCAACCTCTCATTCTTCTGATGACAGCCCAGCGGATAGGCATATTTCCTGATAGCACATACAATATTTTTTATGTTTTATTTTGGACTGTTTCCCTTTGAGCACAGTTTCCCATAAGTATCTCAGTGAAGGAGGGAAACCAGGTTTTTCTTCAGGTGGGCTGCTGGTGAGAGGCCCAAAAGAGACCCGCTTGTGTTGTCCCCACACTTGTGTGGGAGGATGCTGTGACCCCGAGCCAGCACCTTCACCTTGCCTCAGATCACCTCCATCTGCAAAATGGGGTTGCTAATGACCATGTGGTGACAGCCGCCCGTGAAACCTTGAGGTGAAAGGGCTGAGTGTCACATCCCCAAGATTTCTGCATGATATGTCAAAGGGGAAGTTTGAACAGCAGAGAGAAAAAAGGCACTTCGACAGTAAGCAAAAGCAAAATAATTGGTTGCCGAGGAATTGGGCCAGGGAACCTTACTTTGAGCTTTATCTGCTCAAAGTGCATCATTTTTCCATGAAGATTAAAAAGACTATTAATTCGGTGATAGAGCCATATACAATAAATTACCGTGAAAGGGCCACAATGACCTTGGTCGAATCTTATTGTAGGTTCAGCTTTCTGGGTGGGCGGGCAGTATTGCCGGCAAGTCAGGGTTGGGAGGGGGTAAGGGGAGCTGGAGTGGAAACGAAATAGAAGAAAATAGAATCTTGGCAACAGCTACCTGGGCTCTCATTATTTTCAGTGGAGCCTGACATTTGAAGCATAAGAAGAGCTGTCAACAACTTCAAAGCTTGAGGGGCACATTGACAAATGGGCCCGCCTTGCAAGCTAGCAGCCACGTCCTAATGAGCGGCCTTAAAATTGGCCTGGAGCCCAACCCGCAGCCACTACACCAGGTCAGCCTGTGGATTTTAGTTTCTCCTCTTCTCTTCCTGCCTTCCCCTCCAGGAGTGGGAGCTGGTGGTGCTGGGGAAGTTGAAGTGGAACCTGGCAGCTGTCACTCCTCATGACTTCATTGAGCACATCTTGCGCAAGCTGCCTCAGCAGCGGGAGAAGCTGTCTCTGATCCGAAAGCATGCCCAGACCTTCATCGCTCTGTGTGCCACCGGTAAGGTCAGGCTTGGGCCAGGGAGGGAGGCCGGAGAGCTCTTCTGGGAGATGGTCAGGGAGAGGAAAAAGGCATTGTGAACTTTCATGTCAGTTTAGGAGTTTAGGGGAGAGGTGGTGTTGAGTAGTCTAAAGTCTGAAGTTTCATTCTTGGGTGGCTTTTTTTTTTATCTGAGCTGGTCTGTTCGCTTTCTTTGCTATACTCATAAACGGTTTATGAGGACAGGTGTGGTAAGGGAAAAAAATTAGTGCCTGTTAAAATATTCTTTATGATGGCTAAAGTGCTCTTTGAAGATTATACATACTGCTCACTGGTTGTGTTTTAAATCTTTAATCTTTTAAGGAAAAGGATGGCTTGGAGATATGCCCAAGAGGAAATCTGGGGGGATGGGGGCAAATACAGGTTAAAGGAACAACGTCAAGATAAATACGCTGCCTGCCTTGATTAGTGGTAAGGGAGACCATAGGAATTTTTTTTTTTTAACTGTAGGGCATTTATGGCCTCCTGGGTGTTCCCTCCACTGTGTGTGTGTTGCCGGGGGGGAGTGAACCTGGTTGGCTTCCAGTAAGGCTTTACTTTCTGAGCACCGGGTTCTGATACCCTCACTTCACGCGGAGGTGTTTTGATTTGGGCGCAGCCTTTAACATCGCAATTCTGCCTACCACGTGGATCCCACAATTGACACATAGTTCCTACTGGCCCATTTGCTCTGTATTTTCCTAATGAACTCAAGGCAGTGGTTTCCTGTTACCTTACTAAAGGAGCCTTGGGCAGTTTCTACTGTATTTTTTTTTTCTTGGTAGTGGCCATGGCAGAGACCCTAGAACCTTACTCATCCAAGGGAGAGGCGTCAGGAGTTCATGTTTTGACAATCAGAAACCTTAGGTAAAAGGCTGATCACTTGGGAAGACCTTTTGGTGTGGTTCACCTCAAATTTGCCAATAGTTGAATTGCATAGGTGGACTTCAGTGGTAACTTTTTTCAATACATTGTTGCATGTTACTCCTGAGTTCTACAGACGATTATATAATGTACAATGTAGTACATATGCCCTGTGCTCACAGTCAAAAGGTCAGGCTTTGCTACATGCAACTGGGTGACCTTGGATTAGCTGCTTGACCTCTCTGAACCCCAGCTTCTTCATCTACAAAACAAGCCTGTTGATACATCATCCTACAGCCTTTTCAGAGCAGCAAGGAAAATTAAAATCAGAAAGAGATGATGCCTGTGGAAGTGCTTTGTAAACTAGATGTGTAGGTTGGACCTTCACTAATTATGAAAATGCTACGTCTCCGATTTTAACACTGATTTTAACTGTTCCTACTAAAATGGATATGATGGCTTTCCTTTTCTGGCTGCCCGTGTCTTGTTTCTGGTAGGACCTGCGTACTCTGTACTTGCAAGCTTGAGTGTGGAGTCCTTGACGCTGCCTGCCTGTTCATCCAGGGCGCAGATTTCCCCTTGCTGGTTTTCTGTAGTCCTGTTCTTCTGGATGCAGGCCGGGCCTCATGGCTTGCACATGCGCCCCGTGCACTTTGGTGGGAGAGTCCATTGTCCTTCCTGCAGCCCTGGGGGCGGTTCTTAGGAGCCTGGTGGATCCCTGCTGCCCTTTGCACAGTGGTCACTCTGGCCTCCTTCCCTTCTGCTGTCTGGCCCAGGCCGGAGAGGTCAGACCTCCAATGACCTGTCATTTTGTCTCCCAGGCTCGGCCGTTCCTTTCCTCTCTTGTCTTGATTCACTGTGGGAGAGGGGTCAACCGGTTCTTTCTTCCTGGCCCTAGGACAGCTGACACCCGATCCTAAACTTCTCCATCGCCCAGCTGTGAGCTCTGCTTTGACACTGTCTCTTAACTAACAGATCTTTTGGGGTCTATCTGCCCCTTCCTCCTCTCTGATCTCTGATTGGGGTAGGGGTCCTGGGTGGAGTTACTGGGTGTGGGTAGATCCCCAGATTCTGTCTAGAACCATTCTCGGAAACTGGGGACCCCATCCCCCACCCGTGGCCTTCTTGCCCAGATCTTCGGGCTGGCTGCCAACCCTGGGGCCAGAGTAGGGAGCCTGGGATTCGGGGACTGAGGACAGAGGCCCAGAGGGAGACAGAGGCAGTTATGAAGACTGTGTTTTGGGGGCCTTGAGCTAGCTTTGGTCAGGGGCTGGGAAATGACACGAGAAAGGACACCCCCAAACCAAATGCAAACCATGTGCTAAGCACCGAGCCTCAGGTGTGGACTGGCAGAGCAGGGGGAGGTCCTCAGAAGTTTCCTGGGTCTGGAAAGGGTGGGCCTGTATCGCAAGATATTTCTTTGCCTGATCTGCACTTGGGTTTGTGTAACTGACCGGGTCACAGAATCCTGGCTGCCTGGAGTTTTACAACAGTTGGCTTCACAAGACAAACACCGAAGGCCGCTTTTCTTGGAGGAAGCACCTTCCACGGAGAGGAGGTTGTGCGTCGTGGGGACAGGGTGTGATGCATGTGCGAGGACCTGGGCCCGTGTCTGGCCAGTAGCGGGCACAGAGGGGCTGAGGACCAGAGGTAGGAGGCGTGGATCCCAGCCTGAGCTGTTGCCCTCACCTGTTCCTCACATGCTCCGTCCTGGAGCTGATGAAACACTGGCGGCCAGGGTCTTGGAGGTGCACAGCGGGTGGAGGGTGGGGGTCCCGAGAGATGGTAGCCAACCCTTAGGCTGTGCAGCTATTTGATGGGAAAAGCTGGTTGTGAAAGAGCTGGCAGTGGTTCTACAGTGTGTGGGGAGCGTGTGTGTGTGTGAAAGGGGAAGGGAGAGCAGGAGAACACAGGGGCCGTGGGAAGGGGGGTGGAGTGGTGGTCTTGCTTTATGGGGCTCTGGGGTAAGATGGTGACAAGGCAGAGAAGATCCCTCCTTCCCTTCCCTTCCCTGCTCAGCCTAAAATGGCTTCTGGAAGAGGGAGGGCCGCCAGCTGCTGGTATCCCTCTACAGCAGGTCCTGTCAGTGCAGGTGTGGGTGTGTGTGTGTTTGGGAGGGGATCTTCCTGACTACGGCTCCTAGCATTCCCGTTCCTGGAGTTTCCGAAACTGGCGAAGCAGAACTGGGCCGTAGCTTCCCCAGTCGCAGCTCTGCTGATAGAGCGCCCAGTCTGCAAGTGAAGAAAGACCACTGGAGACGACCCCGGACGGCACTGTGGCATTGGGAGATTTCCTGCCGTGTGATGCCATGCTCGATGCATGATTCCAGTTAGTCTAGGAGAGCCAGTGGCACTGAGTTTACACCTGGCACTGGGGACGGGGAGGTGATCACCCTCCCCAGGAGCCCACATTCCCGCTTTCTGCATTAGAAGCCCACCCTAAGATGCTGCACCTTGCTACTTGTGCACAGGATAGCCGCCCCAAGGCCAGAGCCCAGTGTTGACTATAACCCATTGTGCTATCCCAGCCCCTGCCCTGGCTTTACTTACAGGTGTTCCCTCAGATTCCATCCTCAAGTGAGGGAGACAGCGGTGGCCCTGAGAAGTTCGATGATGTAGCCCTTGATTTAGAGTGGAAGATTCACCTTGATGGGTGCTGGGAAGGGGAATGGAAACCCGTCTTTGCATCTGCAAGCCTCTGAGCTGCCCCTGAAGCTGAGAGGTCATGGGACTGAGGGAAGTTGTTCAGATGCCCTGTGGGGACAGGCAGCCAGGCAGTGGGGGGCTTGCCTCTCTCTTCCCTCTGGCTGTAAGAGAATGAGTAGTAGGCTGCTCGTTGCCCTCCAACCAGCCCCCTCCCCAGCTCCTCCCAGCAGGCCTTGCAATTGCACGGGCATTCCCTTGTCATGGCAGGCCCGCCCCACGAGGACAGGGTATGCTGGTCCTTCCTGTTCTGGGGGTGAAAGATGAGGTGCGCGCTCAGTGATGTCCCTGGCCTTATGAACACCCTGGTTCTGGCTCTTTGAATTTCCACCTGACTGCAAGTGGGAGGAGGGGAGAGGTGGGGAAAGCCTGACCCCGCCTTCCCCTTCTTCTTCAGCCTCAGCACTGTCTCTCTTCCCCTACTGGTGGACAGGAGCAAAGTCATCACCCCTGCACCCCAAGACCTTGGCCACCATAGCCAAAATGATGAATGCTAAACTTACTGGGCATGACCACATAGTCCGTGTTTTTAAACTTATTTGGCTCTAAACCCTTTCTTCATTAAAATCCTACCAAGAAGTACAGATACCAAGTTGCTGAAATGGAGCACTTCTCAGGGCTGGTGCCCAGGTGAGGGAGCCCAGTGGGACCCTCAGGAGCTCCCAAGTGTCCTTGGGAGGATAAGCCACTTGTGCTTGCTGGTGCCTGGGCTGGGACCCAAGTGCTTTGATTCCCGAGCTAGAGCGCTGCCTTTGGGGCTTTTCTTCCACTTGTGACGTGAAGGGCTGCCCTGTCTTCCTTAGTGGTATATGGGAGGTGACCTTGAGGAGCTGGTCTGCTTCTGGTAAGTTATGAGGGGCTCTGGATCCAGAGTCCCAAAGTTTCATCTGGACTGCAGGCCCAGCACTCACAGTGAGTGACATGAGACAGATCGCTTCATCTCCCAAGACTTCATTGATTCACTTGTAAAAGATATTTGAAACTGATGAATTTCAAGCTCCTTTTTATTAATACCTCACCATCACCACCACCACCATGAACAGGCATACAGACCACACCAGAGCTGCCCCTGGAGCCTGTGGGTCCCGCTGGGATTCCCCTGAGGTGTGTCCCTCGCCTCCACCGTTTTGCCAGGAAGGAGGCGGGAATGTCGGCTGTTCCTGGTTGTGTGGGTATCGTTCCTTGGCTCGGGTGAACCGCATCTGAATGAATGTGGAATGTGCAGGGTTAGAGTTGCCAACTTCTCTCTTCCATTCGCTGAGTGTTCATGGGGTTCTTTTCATTCCCTTGTGGGGCTGCACTTTCTCCCAGTTCTGCAAAGCAGCAGGCGGCTTTGGGGACTCGATGATGTCATTTCTGGGACACATACACAACTGGATAGTGACAGATTCTCTAGGAAGCACAGAGCCCTCATTCTTCCTGGCCTGCTTGGCCTGCTCCCTGCATCTGTCTGCAAACCAGGGAGCCTAGGCGCCTTTCTTCTCACTCCTCCAGACACTGGAGAGCATCTCCAGTCAGAACTACCCACCACAGTCCTGCAGGAAGTCCCAGGGGTAAGAGCAGCGGAGGAGCAGGATGGGGAGGAGGCGGGCTGACATTCATTGCTTACCTTGAACCAGGCACTGTGCTTTACAAGGATTATTTTAGTTAATCCTCAGAACAACACTATGAGGTGGGTATTGTTATTCTCATTATTTGGAGGTCAGAAAATGAAGACTCTGAGAGGTCAGGTAACGTGCTCATCTTCACACCCTTGGTAGGTGATGGGATGGAGATTGAACCTCACTCTCATTCCAGAGCTAATACTCTGAACCAGTGAGCTGCATTCTCCAGAGGTCTGCTTTGGTTGGAGAGGAGCTGGAGCCCTAGGCCCTGGGATGCTCTGTCCCCCATGACAAGGTGTGTGGCTGCATCTGCTTTCTTCAGCTCTCCAGATGCAGCAACCTAGAGGAGGCCCTGGGTCTGGTGGGGACTGGGGCAGGAGTGGAGGCTGCCCAAGCTCCAAGCACTCCACCTTCCAACTCAGAGCTTTTTGGGTCTATCTCCCAATCCTTTCTGTCTCCCTGGAGAGTCTTCTGAGAAGTGTCTCAAATGCTCCTCTCCACTCATGAGCTTCCTTTTTTGTTTTGTGGGTTGTTTTTTTTTTGAGCCTGTTGCCCAGGCTGGAGTGCAGTGGCACAATCTCTGCTTACTGCAAACTCTGCCTCCTGGGTTCAAGTGATTCTCCTGCCTCAGCCTCTTGGGTACCTGGGATTACAGATGCCTGCCACTATGTCTGGCTAATTTTTGTAGAGACAGGTTTTCACCATCTTGGCCAGGCTGGTCTCGAACTTCCGATGTCAGGTGATCCACCTACCTTGGCCTCCCAAAGTCCTGGGATTACGGATGTGAGCTACTGTGCCCGGCCTTCAAGAGCCTCCTTTGTTTGAGAAGTTTCTTTAGAAGTTACCTATGTAGTAGTATAGACCTAGCCATTACAGCACACCATGCTTTGCTATCCAATGCATTGATGCCCAGCTGTAAGAAGTCTCAATGTTGTACATTTTTGGGAGAGTCCTCCATGCTGCCTGAAACAGGGAAGAGCACATTGTAATGAGTTGATCAGAATGGATCGCTGATCAGTTAATCACCCCTCTCTCTGCCGCAGGAGAAGGCGGGATCTCAGGAAGTCACCAGCATCCCACTTCTCCAGGTGGTCAGTTAATGGTAGTGAGGGTACACCCTCACCCCTGAATGTGCCTTCTGTACCAGCATATAGCTCGTTGTCATTTTTGATCAAGAGACTTAAGAGACTGCTGAGAAATTTTTACCTGGTTCTTACTCATTAAAATAGTATTACATGAAAATTTTACACACTTACCTGCATCTCCCCCACCTAACAGATCAGCTTTTATTTCCGTACCTCCTTCCAGTTCATCCGTAGGCATGTATGCGTGTATTTACCCATGGTTGTCATCTTCATCATTGCATGCATGCAATTTAGCTTTCTGCTCCCTTCTTCTAAGTGGATATTGTGACCATTTCTCCGTCCTGTCATAGAGACAAAGCTGAAGGTTTCCAGGAATGGCTGCATTGGGTAGGTGGAGCTTTCTACAGGTGTGTGGGGAGGGTGGGGGTTGGCTCACTACAGCTAGGAAGCCAGTGCACAGATGAAATGATGTTTCATTTTTCTGTTTTTCTCTCTGTTCAGTATTCCCTACCAGCAGAGAGGGGCATATCCTTGAGAGTGGTCCTGGGGCAGCCTTGGCCTGCAGGGAAGTAGCGCTGCTCAGTGGAGAGGGGTGCTTTGTGACTTTGCCAGCTGGTAAATGTCACGACACATTCTATTGTTTCCTCATTGTTCTTCTCCTTGGGAGTCATTCCCAGTCCAGATCCTCAAGTAAGAGCAAAGAGTAGCTGTAAGGCACCTGGGAGACTATCCTGCCTGCTATTTTTAAACTCTTTGACCTAAGTCATGAAAGAAGAAATGCATTTTATAACATAACTCAGGATACTTGTACAAGTATGTCAGACTGATACAAAATCTCCAAACACTATTTACTCTTACTACATGCAGTGAGCCCGATACTTTCAATCTACTCTTATTTGGTTAAAGGAGAACAACAAAAAAATGCTGGTCACGACCACACATGAATTTCATGACCCATTAATAAGTTGCAACTAGAAATTAGAAAAAACACTTACCCAACCCAACCCCTTATTAGACAAATGGGAAGCCAGGCCCTTGGAAAGAGGAAGTGACTTGCCCACAGTCACAGTCTGGACCTAGCTGGAGCGCTGATGTGGCCTTAGTATTGGACTAACCTGGAGGAGAGAGGGGGGCGTGCTCAGGGGTCCAGAGGAAGATGCTGGGCTCCTGTGTAGCAGGCGATGGAGGGGCAGCACGGCGCCATCCTGATCTCCAGCAGGTCTTCTGTCTGGTTGTGGGAACATTGCCCCTTTGGTGCCACTCTGAGCTGCTGAGAGACAGCCAAGTTCATGCACACAGTGCTCCCCAATTCTGTGGGATGGGACAGTGTCACCCAGAGGACGTTTTCTTAGTAAAACAAAAAGGGAGGTGAAGTCTCCCTGTGCAACCGTGCTCCTGTTCCCCCTGTGCTTGCTGGCTTCCAGAAGTAATTCATATGCCAATAATAAGAACTGGTTTTGCTAGCAGTGGGACAGCAGAGATGGGCGTGTGTGAGGGGTGCTTCCCGGTCTGAGGCCTGTGGCAGAGGGAAGGGAGGGCTGAGGATACTTTCCTGCCCCTTCCCTGGCAGATGCTCCCACCCGCGCCTTTGTGGGCTCAGGGCCATGGGCTGGCTGCCCCGCTTGTGTTATGAATGTCACAGGGGGGAGCTAACGAGGTTATTGGGCAGAGAAACACTCTCCTGTGACCCATGTGGAAGAGACCTACAGCAGAGCAAGAGGCAGGGAGGCTGGCTTTGTCACACCATCCATGGTGACAGAGAAAGCATAGGAGGGGCAGGGGGACAGCAGGCGTGGGCGCAGCACCATCATATTTGTCCCTCAAGAGGTGGAGATGGTAAAGGAAAAAAAGCCAAGGAGACAGGCAGATGGCCAGGTTTGCTCTGCATTCATGATGGGAGGGGGGGCTGTGCATGGTGTGGGGATCCATGGTGTCTGACAACACTGCTAACTTATGCTGGGGTGACGGGCTCACCATTAAAAGAGCTGCCGTAGAAAATGTGTGTGTAATAGAGCTTCACATAGGAAGAAGGGGAAATAAGAGAGGGGCTGGTTTTTGTAGGTTTAACCTGATTGTTTCTGCTGTAAGTTGAAGGGTGACCCACGGTTCCCTATATGCTCTGTCTTCTGCCCCCGTGTGCCCTTCCCGTGTCTACACACAGTAAGTTCACCGGAGCAATGCTGAAACTAGAAAGAGTACACTTCGGAAGACTTGCTGCTCTCCAGGACTGTCACTAGGGTGATGGCTGAAACTGTCCCCACGCTAAGGTTGTGTGAACACCAGCAGGGGCAGCTTACTTAAACTCTCAAAAGCCTCAGGGTTCTCACGCACAGCATTAGGGTGATGCTCGTGTGCACTTCCTGTGGCTGATGGGTGAATTAAACAGGACGTAACATGTAGCGTATTGCATATGGTGGTCATTGGGAGCTGTCAGCAGCAGTAATGGGGAAGTTGGCTGCTTTATTTCCCCTTGATGGACCAAGCAGCTGCTGGGTCATGGTCACCCAGCCCCTCTGGGGAGTGCTCAGAGAAAGACAAGGAGTCTGGTCTTCTAAGAGGAACCCTCTAGCACACAGGAGCATCCTCTGTATTTGCTGTCAGAAATGGCAGTGGTTGGGATTCAAGCCCCTCTGATTTATTTTCCTCATTCTGCACTTCTCTGTAGCAAGTCACATTTTCTTCCCTTAGCAATAAAATGGCCCTTCAGGCTCATGAGTCATAGCACTGACACCAAGTCACCTATCAGTCACCTATCTGATTCGGACGCAATGGTTCATCTTGGGTGCTTAGTTAGAGCCCTATGTTAGGGTTAGAATCCTCTACCGTAATGTTCTGAGATGCTTGCCGTTGGGCCAGAGGTTGGGAATTGGGTGGAACTCGGCCCCTACTCGCCCACTCCCTGCATTGCTGCTTCTCTCATTTCCTTTTTAAAATCAAATCTTTGTTTTGGGTCATATTAATCCTCGATGCCTGTCCAGAAACTATAGCAAAACCCCATCTGAATTAGCATTCTGCATAGATTTTGCCCGATTCTCCCACCTCCTTGTGCTCTCCCTCCTTTTCTCATCTGGAACCCCCGGTCTATCCCGCTTGCACAGCCCATGGGGTACCTTATGTGCACTGGTCTCAGGCATTCTCTGCTCTGTTCCCACCATCACCTCTAGAGGAGACCATGACTCACTCACCTTGCTGCCCCCACCAGGGTCAAGAATGTTACCTCTGACATGCTTAATATGACTGGGATTTGGGGACTGGGGACCTTGAATCCTCTGTGCATTTATTGTGTGCGCTCAGATAAGCTGTCTTCCTTCCCTGCCTCAGTCTCCTCCATTTAAATCTGGAGCAGCCATGGTGATGGCAAATAAACACAGGGCCCCTTGTGAAAGAACTCAAGGGAGGACATGCCTGTAGGGCAAGGGGTCACTTGTGCCACTGGCCTGCTGCCATCCTGTTTCTGAGTCTCTGAAGTCTGGGGAGCTCCCGGATCCAAATTCGTTCTGTGCCCTGACCTTGTGCCTCTCATTCCTTGCAGACTTTAAGTTCGCCATGTACCCACCGTCGATGATCGCAACTGGAAGTGTGGGAGCAGCCATCTGTGGCCTCCAGCAGGATGAGGAAGTGAGCTCGCTCACTTGCGATGCCCTGACTGAGCTGCTGGCTAAGATCACCAACACAGACGTGGTAGGTGGCCTCCACCATCTTGGCTGAGACCAGATGTCTCTTCTCAGCTCGGGGAAAGAGACGGCGGGTTTGATTATGTCGTGTCAGGGGTATTTTTGGGGTTTGTTTTCTAAGATCAACATCCAAGGGAGTACAATGTAGTTCAGCAGGTGACACCCCCCTCTTAAGATTCTGAAAGACTGTGCACCATAAAATACAGAAGAAAACTCAGGAAGCAGATGCAGGGGCGGGCGGAGGGCTGTTTACCCATGTTCCTCTATGGCGTGGGCTTCCCAGTGGGTCTGAATTGTGGCTTCATTGCCATATTTGTACACGCTGCCGGGCTGCCTCTGCCCAGCAGCATTAGAGCTGCCGTGTCTGCTCACACACACAGAGGCTGTAAGGCACAGAGAGGAGGAGGGAGAGCCAGGACTCAGCTGCAGTGGACAGAGCAGACACCCTATGAGAACGGTGTCTGTCCTTGGCAGACCTCTCGACCCCTCCCCGCTCTCTCTTCCCTTTTGTTCTATGCAGTCGTGGATTACAAAGTGCTTTCAAAAGACAAAAGTCCCATACAAACTCAAGAAATTATTATTAGCTTCGGAGCTTCCCCATTCTGTGTGCCCTGGGGACAGCCCAGAGGCTGTTACTTCCTGTTGCCAGAATTTGGAGCTCCTGAGAAGAAAGGTTTTGAGAGAGACCAGGGTCAAATGAGACTCTGAATTCAACTGGTAGGAAGCTGCAGTCCTAGAGTGTCCCAGCCAGGATGGTGCTGAGAGATCGGAGAGGCAGTTCCTTCATTTTCCACGGGCAGGACACTGGCTATAGTAACCAGCCGGGAGGGGGGCTATGGCAGAGCTGGGACTAGAACGCCCAAACTCCACCTGCCCCTGAGAAACATTCCACCCCACCCTTGCTACCGCTCCTGGGATCTTTTGGTTTGAAAAAAACCTTGGGTTTAAAGGCAACCCAAGAGGGGGTTGTTGGCCCTAAGCCTTCATGCATTGCCATGGAGAGGCTGAAGAATGCAGAGCACTTCACGATGACACCCTCTGGATGGTCCAGGGGGATTCAGATACCCTCTGCGGGCTTTTATTGAGTTAAGGGATCATGTGATTTACTGGCCTACGTCTGAGGCCTGCAGAAGGGATACTGAAGAGATGAAACCTCAGAGAGCCCACGGCTGCAGGTCACTGGCTTTTTCTCCCGCCCACGTGGATTTTTCCTGGCATTTGTTCCCAGCTCAGAGAAATGGGGCAGGGAGATGCTGACAGAGCAAATCTGAGGTCCTCCTCTGAGATAGTTCTTAGATATGGTCTTAAAATGCGGGCTCCAAACATATGCTTTTTAAACGAGGACTCCAAAACACAGCCTGAAAAGCTGCCTCCAGTGCAGCGTGAAGAATGCTTTTCTAATCCTCCAGAGAAAAATCATGGACAGGAATTAACATTTATAGAAATGGTATGCTTTCTTCCTTTTCTGAATGTCTCCAGTTAAGGCTGCCTTACAAATAGGACTCCTAACCAATTTAAGACCAGCCCTTCCTCAAAGCCTAGAGACAAAAATGTCCGTGTTTGAGCGGCTCCCCTCCTCCTGCCCCCAGGCATTGGAACCTTTTCCCAATGTTGATAGACCTCAGGGCTGACCACCCAACTGTCTCCAGCCTTTTCCCACCTCCCTTTGTCCTTCCTGCCTTAGGGATCTCAGGTGGACAGTGGTGTCAATTTCACTCCTGGGAGTTGCTGCTAAATCTCTTGGCTTTTCAAGACTGCAGGCAAGTCAGTCTGTCATCTCATCTGGAGAAACCGTTTTGCCTTTTTCTGATACTACATAGCCAGTCCATTTAAGCCAGCTGGCCAACTCTATTAAATGGACACGAAGTGGGCAGGAAGCTGGTTGGGGAGTGGCCTCCTATAAATCCCAGCTGTTGATTGAGTTGGTACCTCACTTCTATAAGGTGCACACACTGTGTTTCTAATCTAGGGCTGCCAGTGTGTGCCTCATTCACACCAGTGGGCCTAGGTTAAACATTTTCATATTTAAAAACCAAGAGTGAACATAGTGAAATGTAAAATTAATAACAGTTTTTCAAATAAAAATCAGAGACCTCAGGAAGTTCCAAGCTTACCTCTGGCTTACCCCAGAGGCTTGTTCACTCTCCCTGAAAATGTTTTTAGTGGAAAGATTCAAGCAGCGCTGGGCTAGGTTGTGTGAAAGATTCAAGCAGCTCTGGGCTAGGCTGTGTGTGTGTGTGTGTGTGTGTGTGTGTAAGTAACTTCCCAAGTGATAAATCTCCTCCCATCCATTAGCCTGCGTTCTCTGAAAAGCTGATGAGGGAAGAAAGATAAACGACTAGAATGTAGAACACGTCAGCATTGGGAGGGAGGTGAATTTTGCTTCCTGAGCTCCGTTTACCATTTCTTGAGTCAAGAAGTGGTGTATTTCAAGCATTTAAAGTATTCATTTCTGGAAGTCTTTACTGAAGGCCCAGTTGTTGCTAGAAGTTGGGGTGGATGGGTGGCATGTTGGAAATAGAGGATGAGATTCCTGCATTGAGGGAGCTTAGCGGTTGTATGATGAATCAAGAGTAAAGCACGCAAAACCCTAGGAAATTAAGAACATCAATGATGGTGTGCTAACTATTGTGTTACGAATGCTAAATGCAGGAGGAAATCAACCCAAAAGCAGGAGCTCATGAGGCCTAATGTAGGATGCAGGCCTCCCGCAGAGAAAACATGGTGATAGAAACTGTTCTTAGAGTAGAGAAGCAAAATGTATGCGCACACAATGGAATATTATTCAACCAAATGAAATTCCGATCCATGTCATAACATAGGCATACCTTGAAAATACTATGTTAAGTGAAATGAGGCAGACACAAAAAGACAAATACTGTATGATCCCACTTATACGAGGCACCTGGAAAGTCAAATTTCATAGAGACAGAGTAGAATAGAGGTTCCCAGGAGTCTGAGGGGGAGGAAAGGGGGAGGGATTACTGTTTTACAGGTATATTGTTTCAGTTTGGGACGATGGAAACACTTCTGTAAATGGAGAGTTCTTTTTTTTTTTTTTTGAGACGGAGTTTCGCTCTTGTTACCCAGGCTGGAGTG